ACACACACACACACACACACACACACACACACACACACACACACACATATATATATATATATGTGTATATATGTGTGTGTATATATATACAGGTCCTTCTCAAAAAATTAGCATATTGTGATAAAGGTCATTATTTTCCATAATGTAATGATAAAAATGAAACTTTCATATATTTCAGATTCATTGCACACCAACTGAAATATTTCAGGTCTTTAACACTAGAAGTCCCAGAGAAGGGTCATTTAACATTTCTACCTTTGGAACCCAGAGACGGGTCGAGTGACCTGAAGGATTTTAGCTAACATCCTATAATGAGCTGTTAACAGGCGCTTTTGTTTTGTAAATAAGGGCATTACTGGTGTACCACAGGAGGGGGCACGCTTAACTCCCAACTAACTGTTTTCCATTGAGTTTAGCCATTTAGTTTCTAGTTAGTTATATTCAGTTTATTGTATTTTATAATATGAAGATTTTTTATATATATATTGGTGGCACATTGTTACACATTTTGAACAAATTGAAGTCGATTTACCGTTTATTTTTCAATTGGTTTGGCTCATTTCTTGAAACCGAGATGACATTCTCAAAACACCATGTGAAACACAACTCAAGAGTCTTTGCATTTTGAGGTTACTGACAATTTGTATGAAACACATATTTTGTTTTGATGTATATAGTATTTAGCTTAGTTTTGAGCAAAAAAGCACAGACCATAAGCAATTGTGTGTAAGTCAAGAGGACTAAAACTTCAGCATGAGAAATATAAAAAACAACAACCGTTATTTGTTTCCATGCTTTTTATTTTTGTCATAAAAATACAAGGGATAAAACAATTCTACACATATTTACACTATGCTCTAGTGGGGGGGCTGCGTGTGTGTGAGTGGCATGTCCTCCTTGTGTGACTGGCATTTCAGCACTCACTCAGCAGTCCATCTGCACTGTCGAAACATACCTGGCACTGCCAGGGTATGTCCCTGGTACATTTGCCACATGTGTATTTGTAACAGTTGACGCATCTCACAGTTGCACAATTGTTCGTGCATCGATGTTTGGTCTGACACTTTGCCCTTTTGCCAGGGCTGGGTGTGGAAGGTTGTTGCTGAAGCAGTTTCTCCTTGCGTGCCTTCTTCTCACAATTAATGTGGTTATTTTTTTTCTAAACTGTCATTTTGAACCCACTTCTCTTTTTTCTGAAAGAAAAACATTACTAAAATCTTTTAGAAAAACTTTTGCATATATCTTGAAACAGATTGTATGTTTTGCTAACTTTTGTTTTGTTTTGTTCATTTGGCAAAATGACCTGGATAATGCATCTCTCCCAAAACACCATGTATGCTTCAAAACAAAATATGTGTTTCATACAAATTGTCAGTAACCTCAAAATGCAAAGTCTCTTGAGTTGTGTTTCACATGGTATTTTGAGAATGTCATCTCGGTTTCAAGAAATGAGCCAAACCAATTGAAAAATAAACGGTAAATCGACTTCAATTTGTTCAAAATGTGCACCAACGTGCCACCAAGAGATATAAGTTCAAAATATAACCAGTTGATTTCGCATCTGTTTGGAGTATTAGACGGACGTTTGTGTGAGTTCAGCTTATCTCTCCCCTGCTGATTCCTAAGGCAATGGCCACATTTACAAATGAAAGGATGCTAATTGGAGCCATCAGAGTTGTCTGGTTTGGAGCACTACTTTGACTAAGGCTGCGCTTTTTTGCGCAAGTGAACCTGGCTTCTAAATCCCCCGCTCCCTGGATTGGACATTGGAATGCAGTCTGGTGAGGTGGGTGTGTCTGAGTTACTTGTGTGCATATTTAAAACAAATGGCAGTTAATGGCCCGCAAATTGTTGAAGAGAAGGAGGGGGTTTGTCCTCAGGATCTTGAAAATCTAGTCACTCTAGTGCTAAGGGTCTTTTGACCCTTTTTCAGGACTTCTGGGGGGAGGTCGAAATTCCTGGGACTTCTAGTGTTAATTGTTTTAATACTGATGATTATGGCATACAGCTCATGAAAACCCAATATGCCTGTCCCAAAAAATTAGCATATCATGAAAAGGTTCTCTAAACAAGCTATTAACCTAACCATCTGAATCAACGACGTAACTCTAAACACCTGCAAAAGATTCCTGAGGCTTTTAAAAACTCCCAGCCTTGTTCATTACTCAAAACCGCAATCATGGGTAAGACTACCGACCTGACTGCTGTCCAGAAGGCCTTCATTGACACCCTCAAGCAAGAGGGGAAGACACAGAAAGAAACTGCTGAACGAATAGGCTGTTCCCAGAGTGCTGTATCAAGGCACCTCAGTGGGAAGTCTGTGGGAAG